GTAAAATGACTGCATTTGTGGTGTAGTTTTCGTATTTGGTCTCAATTAGTGTAGTCATCTCTGTACATTTGACCTTTCGTTAGCACTATTGCGTAAGTTCTTATTGTTGTTTTGTCGGCAGTGCCGTTCAGTTTTTTCCTATCCAGGGGATTGGACGCATGCATTTGAGCTTTCTTATCAAAACTGCGTTCATTTGCATTCATTTGAAATTGTGATTTACAGATGATAAATGTTGTCTATTTTTTTTGATAGTCCGTTTGTTCAAGTAAAAGTCTTCGCTGCTTCTGTTTTTCACACTGAAATTTTTTATTTTGATGCGTGTATGCCGTCGCTCTTAAGAAGAATATCTAATTTTTTTCTGTTCATCCCATCGCAAGGCGCCCGCATTTAGCGTCATTCGTTGGCCTTGAGCTTAGGACATGCTTTGATAATTTTGAGAGACGCCGCTGGCGTTATGTTTTGTTCGTTTATCTCTATTGTTGCTGTAAGTGAGTTGTTGTCATTATCACTATAAAATATTCTTGAGTTAGTGGTTACTGCAGCATAATTGGAAGTTGTTTACTAGAAGTGAGAGTAATCCGGCGGTTGGCCAGAGGGTATTCCTACTGATCAGGTGCCTAGTGCTAAATCTCCGCATTTTTAGGAGTCTTCAAAGATTATGGAGTTCTTCCGAATAGCAACGAAATCAAGGATACGCCTTCTGCAAACCCGCTTCATTTGGTCCTGGCGAAGCGTAATAGCATCGACTTCAATTAGATTGTATTACTGGTCTCCGCATTGCCTTGCAGCTAGTGAACGAAAAGATGAAAGGCAAAAGACGGATGTTGTCAAGCAACAGAAGTCGATCCTTGAGGAAGTGTTAATAAGAGAGCATCAGAAGCCGAAGACGACTGCACAGAAAGGTAATGTAGTTGATTGGTTTTGCATCGTCCCTTTTTGGTCTGCCGGAGGGTCTTGACAAAGATTTTAGGAATCATGAAGCAAGTCAAAGGCATTTTGGAGTATTAATTGCCAAATTTTCATAGTGAGCTTTATGAGTGGGATTCTGATCAGTGCGAAGCCCTGTTTCATATTCCACTGGTTATAAAGTGAGACCTTCCGAAGCAACAAACCCGTTCGCCCAAGCTCTTAAATTTTGTCCTACTCAAAGGATGTCCTTTGCAGAGACGCAATAGAAGAGAGAAGGAACATTTTTGAAGCAATCAGAAATGTTCACGTCAGTTATAATAGGTTTTCAAAAAATCGGCGCGGTATAGGGTTCGGTTCTGCATGACCCAGCTGCCGGACAGAAACATTGCTGAACAACTAGCACCTTTTATGTGTTCTCCTAAACTTTTTTAATTCATTGCAAAAAAATTTGATAAGAACTGAGTCGCGACGCGTGGTTTTCAAAATGCGATCGAAACATTACCTTAAATGTGATTTGAATTTGGAATAAAGTGGGAAAGCTTAAGGCTTGCTTAACTGTGCGAAGGAATCGGTAAACCTTTGGTTTAAAGACCTGTAAAGATCGTACTTCGAATACGTGTGGAAACTGGGATTATCTTCTTTTCAAAGAAATGTTTTGTTGTGACAGTTCTCATGTTAAAAGCAATTAAGATGGACTCGACAAAATGAGATAAGATAAAACCCGACAAAGTGAAAAAACTGGAAAGATGAAGTATAATGAGACTGATGGTAATGGATGAGGAAGTACTTAAAGAGATCTGAAACGGAGCTGTGCATTCCTAGTGTTCTAAGAAAGGAACTGAGTAGTATTTTTTCACGGAGTTAGCAAGGAAGAAATGATGAACAGTAGGAAAGAAACAATAAATCGATGGAGGGGAATCCTGTTTTCCTGCAGCTGAATCCCACTTCTTTGCACAATAACTGCAATGACACTCAATTACAACGAAATATTTACAGTCTCTTGTTTAAGGTAATGGTGATCAAGCCTTATTTTAACGCAAAATCGTCTTAGAAGTAATTAGAATGGCAATAATTTTTAGTGTCATATTATTTTAGAAGGGGGTTTCAGTACATTTTCAGCTTTTTTTCTTTTTAAGTTTACTAGACGGTTTTCAAGCTCAGAAAAGTCACGGTAATATTTGTTCCATTTCTGCAACTTAACAGTAAGGAACAATGACTACTATCAATTGCGTTTGACCAAGTACCAAACCTTTGTTCTCATAAATCCTGATTCTTATCTGTTTCTGCAAATTTGATACGTTTCTGACTACAGCACTGCAAATACTTGGGCCATATCTGAGTACGATCATCATCTACAAATTATTATTATTCATTGCACAGATCTGTTGCGCACCTAGTTGTTCATCAATGGCATTCTGTTCCCATTACGTCCTTCCTCCTTACGTTATTTCTCGTTGCGCCTTAACCACAAATTTTCAAAATCCATTCATTTTGCAAGAAAAGGCATCAGTAGCAGGTTATTACCCTCTAAGTTCAAAACTGATACCAGTTTCTAGCTCAAGTTATTGCATATGTAGTGGGGAGAATCAAGTTGTGCAAGATTTGTACGTCTTCTCATCTTCAGTCATCCCTCCTTGTCCTTAGTCGCAGATGAAAAACTTAATTTCCTACGAAACTTATCGGAAATCATCTCAGCAGTTTTGATACAGCTTTCATTACAAATCTTGTTATGATTTTTGGCGAAATCTGACAGTTATCGGAATTGTGCCTACCTCTGAAATAATAGTTTCTTCAAGAGCTATTTCCAAGAGTAATTAGGAGCGATTTGTTTCGTTTTTCTGCCCCTTCCAGATTCCCCAGTCGGACAGTACATTTCGTTCGTTCTACTTCAGCCACATCCCGAAGATTTTTTAAAACTGCACATGTTACATGATACATCATATTTCTGTTCATTCATCTCATACTAGTTAGGCAGTTTGAAGGTGAGTGTTTTATAACGGAGCCATTAGAGGAAGCTGCCTTTTATTGGATTTAGTTTATCTTTTTCTTAGTTTAGCAATTCGCACTCGGTGTTACTGAAAGTAACAAATCCAAGAAACTGCTTGAAGCCGTCCTTTGAACTAGTTGCTCTTCATATTCCTTGATCTGCTTTAGCGCCAGTGGTCAAGTTTTTGCTCGTTGGCACGCTAACTGGAATACTTTAAGTAAGGTGCTCACCCAAATTTCCTTTGTTATCTCATTTATTGTGCCAGAGCAAAGTTGCTTTTCTGCCAAAGCTTCATTTTTTCAATTCTGTGCGACGCTGGTATCGAAGCTTTCACACAGTGAGCTTACACATTACTTGAGGTTTTTTTT